TCCCCCCCCCCCCTTACAACTCTGCATTTGCAGGAAAATGGACAGAGGAAATACGGCGGCCCTCCACCTGATTGGGATGCTGCACCTCCTGAAAGGGGCTGTGAAATTTTTATTGGAAAACTTCCCCGAGATCTTTTTGAAGATGAGCTTATACCATTATGTGAAAAGGTGAGTCCAAAATTATATTTGGACACGTGCTTGTATTGAGCATATGCAAGGGGGCTTCAAAAATTCATGGGAAAAAAAGGAAATTCTGGCATTTTTTTTCAGGAGTTCTTTGAAGCCCTAAGCATATGTGTCTTCTCGTTCAAGCAAAAGCACTACGCTCTGTTTGCTTTCACTTCGTCCTTCTTCCCTGATTGGCTCCTTCCAGTTGCTATTCTTCAGTCATGGACACTGAAGACCTTTCTAGCTGTTAGCTATACCCCCCACATTATCCCAGACTTGACTCAACTCTTCGTCTTATTACTGACAGCTTCAACTGCCTTCTGATCACTTTCCAATCTGTCCCTCTGGCCTCCATCTCTCCAACAACCAAGCTAACTTCCTGTAAACTTCATGTGCCATCCCATCTAAGCTAACACTACAACCCGTCTAAAAATGTGATGTTGCTCCTCCTTGACATTTTAATATGGTTTTATTAAGCTACAACACGTTCACTTAAAAAGGATGTGAATGTTGACCCTGGCTCAAACATATTTCTACATACATGCTGACTCAGAGGAAATTTTCTTTTCCGGTCTGAATTTCTCCCCTACCTTAATTTATCTACAAGGTTGAGAATTCGGTTTCTCAAAGTCACTTTTTCCCTATTAAGGGAAAAACTTCCTCAGTTTTAACTCCAAATGATACTTTATTAGCAAATCTTAAAAAGTACAATATTAAAATGTACTCTCAATAATTTACTGTGATTTTTAGAAACAGCTACATGCTTGAAAATTTTAGTAAAAAGGAGTAATTAGCTCTTTTCCCTCTAAGTAACAAATTGTGTATGTGGTGAGAGTGAGAGAGCCTAAGATTAAAAACTCTCAATTTTATTCAAAATATTATAATATAAATATTATAAAATATGAGTATTTAGTGAGAATCTTATGTCCTTAACCTGAAGCATAAAGATGAAACATTATGTGCATGTCATCTCAGAATAAATTATAGTCCACTGAATACGTTGGGATGGGTGAGGTGGGATGAACCAAGAAATAACTAAGCACTCAGGTACTGACAGGTTAGCAATGACACCTCTTCTGCCTGCACATGCCCTTCCCACTCCTGGAGCCACCCTTCTTATTGACAATGGCAGCCAGCTGTTACAAATGGCTGTGTTCTGAAATGTCGAGCGAAGAGTGGGGGAAGGAAATGTATATGGACCCGCAGAGCAGTTAGAGCCAGGGAAATGGATTTTTAGTATCATCCTGTAATGGAGATTCTGGCCTTGTAGTAGGTATCTGAAAATTCATTTTTGCCTTCAAGCCTACAAATTCAAAAGCAACAAGGTTCCCCACTTGTCCTCCGTAGTACATCTTCTATGCCTATTCACATACACAGGGGTGTGGGGAGATCGCTAAAAAGTTCATTTAGCCATGTTTCAAAGGAGTGTGCACTGTCATTGTTGAACAAAGAATGACCAAGCAGGAATATAAATTTGAAGACTTCAGAGGCCTAAGTTAAAGTGCAAGAAAAAGAAGTGTTCCAAGCAATTGTACTTTTGATGGCAAATGTGTTTTTTAGGTCCCTTGAAATTGCATGAATCTCCAAATACTTGTATGACAAAAGGTTATTTGCTTTGTCAAAAACATATTCTGTTAACTCAGGCTGAAATGTCACTTGTGCAGATTTTCTATATTGAATTTGACTGCTCATGAATCTGAAAATGCATCTGAGCACAGCAAGCCATGGGCTGCAAACGTCAGATACTGGGAGACTAGAAAATTGTGTGTGTGTGTGTGTGTGTGTGTGTGTGTGTGTGTGTGTGTGTGTATGTGTGTACACCTACTTGTATTGAGCATATACAAGGGGGCTTTAAAAATCTATGGAAAAAAGGAATTAGAAGATAATGGAATTTTTCCAGAAATTCTTTGAAGCCTTAAGTATATTTGTTTAGAAGTAAAAATGTACAAATAAGAATTTTCCCTTTTCTGTTATTTATAGATCGGTAAAATTTATGAAATGAGAATGATGATGGATTTTAATGGCAACAATAGAGGATATGCTTTTGTAACATTCTCAAATAAACAGGAAGCCAAGAATGCAATCAAGCAACTTAATAATTATGAAATTAGGTAAGCCCAAACTCTTCTAGACAGAAAGTAAATCAGATAATGCAACTGTATCTATTTTTCTGTCAAGCTTATCTAATATAATGCATGCGAAAATTAGCTAAGTCAGAAAGAAAATAGGATGGTTCTTTTCCTCTTTAAAAATTAATTTTATTAAATATTACTCAATGGTAACACTACATGAAGTACCAAACTTCTAAGTTCTGTGAAATGTCCAAAGAAATAAAGTGTGCTTATCTATTTCATACTTCGGTGCTAGTCACTCTCCAGCATACTGGAGACACATCAAGGTGCCTTTTCCGATTCTGATCACTAATCAGCAGGTCAGATTATTTAAGAGAGTATGGAAAACACAACCAAGATGCAGGGTGAAGTTGTGTGAGATGACTACACGACATGGCAGAGTGGAGAAAAGACTCCGAGAAATTTAAATTGGATCTGAGACTTGAGTGTACACAGAGTCACCAGAACAGACCTGTGGGAAGGTTAACTCCTGAGAGAGATTCAGGGCTGACAAAGAATTTTGGTCTCCATGTTTGTGGATGTAGTAGTGTCCCTAAGAGATGTCAAAGATGGGGAGATAGCAAAGAACACGTGGTGAGCTCTGTCCGGGGCATTTTCCATTTGAGATGCACAGGAGCCCTGCGTTAGCCCATGCATGGGGAGGTAGGTGGTGGTAGTTAGGAGAAAGGCCAAAACTGGAATAAAGATGTGTCAGCCAATAGAGATAGCACTTCAAACCATAGCACTAGAGAAGGGTAGCAGGATATAAATAACTCTGTAATCACATCTTATACATTGGAAATGGGGCTAGGAATGAAATTTCCGGAGTTTGAAACTCTTCCTTGGAGAGTAACGATCATAAATCACGCAGCGCCGAGCCACCTGGGAGAAAGACGGGCACCACTGGAAAGTACTAGCTTCACACCACACTGGGGATATCCGACTTCCTGCAGGTGCCTTCATCTCTCGGAGCCTCAATTTCCTCATCCATAAGATAAAGATACTAATACCTATAACACGGGTATTTGTTCTGGGGATACAGTAAGTGCTTTTAAATGTGTACCCAGTGGTCGATATGGTCAAGCCTTTATCATCTTCTGGTGCTGTCAGGGGCCATGAAGCTGGTTCTGACGTACGCACGACGTACAACAGGAAAAAGCACTACCTGGTCCGGAGCTGTCCTCCTCCGAATCATGACGATGCTCGAGCCCATGTCTGCAGTCACGGTGCCAACCTACCAATATTATACGCGCCCAGCAAGATCACATCAATTCCATGATGAGGTTCTGTACAGCTATTTCCTTTCTGAAATAGAAATGCCTCTTGAATTTGTGAGAGTAGATCTCCCATCATTGTTTTTCTCTCATGTCCTATAGGCCCCCCAGAAAACATACATTATCCTTATCATTCTGTAAGTCAATTAGTTACTGGTTGGGTTTTTTCTTCAGTTCCTTCGTCACGGGAAGATCATTGGAGTTAGCAAAGATTAGTGGCCTAGCGGAGCCCTGCTGGTATAGTGGTAACACGTGGGGCAGCAACCTCCACTAGCTCCTTGGCGGGGAAGATGAGGCTGCCTACTCCCATCAAGAGCGGCAGTTCTCCCTTGTCCTGTGGGGGCGCTGTGAGTCAGAATGGACGAGATGGCAGTGAGTTAGTGAGTGGATGGCTCAGATGGTTAAACCCGCAACTACTAGCCAACAAGTGGACGGTTTGGACCTTTCTTGTGGTGCCTCATAAAACTGTCCAGGAGAACAGCTCTGAAAACACCCCCCCTTGGAAACTCGACGGAGCAGTTCTATGTGCACCAGGGGGGTGACCAGGAGTTGGAACGGACCCATCATCCACCACCCACAGTGGCCTCGGCATTCAGGCTGACAGTAAACTCTGGAGCACAGAAGATTCTTGAAGGATTAGAAAGAACACTCCTTGCTCACCTCTGCCTCTGCGGTTCCTGAGGAACTTTGTGTGGTATGTGGAGGTTTCTAGAAGACCTGAGATCTAGCCCGGGATCTTTCGAGCTAACCTTTAGCCTCTTTGATGAACCTTTATGGCATAAGTCAGGAGTTCTGCTCCACGGGAGAAAGATGTGGCTTTCTGCTCCCATACAGATTTGCAGACTTGGAAAACCACGGGGACCACTTTACTCTGTGCGTAGAGTGGAGGTGAGTCTGGCTTGGCTCCGGGGCAGTGCATAAGTCAGCCTCTCTGAGCACCACATTCATCATTATCCAACAATCTTATTCTGAGCGTGGATTATATGAAATAATATATAGTACAGTGCTTTGCAAAAATCTATACAAAGCTATAGTGTTATATATATATATAATTTTAATATTAAAGCTATATGGTTTCAGGGATCGGAAAGGTCCTTGGATTCTTGGTCTTTCATGGAACTGGATATCCTAATGGTATGGGATATTCCCAAAATGGCTGTTGAGTTGAGATGGAAGCCAACCTGGTTATGTAGAGAATTTAGCATGTTTTTCTGGTTCGACTTAACACATCTTTACACACTGGGATCTGTCTCCAGGCTTTGAATATGGAAAGGCATGAATAATGAATACAATTCTTTACCCTGGGTCATTGAGAAGTAATTGATCCCTACATCAGTTGCAGTTTCTTCATCTATGAAATAGAGACTACAATATACCAATCTCACAAGGATGTGAAACATAAATGAAATAATGTAGGTGAAGTTCAGGTGCTGACATGCACAGGTGTTCCTATGTGTTTTTTAATAGCTACGGTGGTGGTGATAAAGGAAGAAAAGCAAAGCAAAAAGAGAAATATGATCAAAAATTTGGGAAGAGAAAGTTATTGACCAAGATCACGGTCCAGGGTCAGGTGGACACCAGGAGAAGGTGAGGCACAAGGACCCTAAAAATCAGAGGGTTTGACAAATGGCATATGAATCACATGAGACAGACACCAGAGTCGACCTCCCTTCCTTCCACTCTTCCAGGGGCAATCCTTCTGGAATGAACACCCCTTTTCAGTGAAGAAAAGTGACCTTCAACTTTCATTTCGCCACCATTTTTCTGAGGCTAGCAACTCAACGTAAGGCACTTACCCGGAAAAGACCCACAACTACTATATCAGCATCAACTATTCACCAAGCATTGCCTAAATGCACAGCTTCTGGAGATATTGAAGTCTTGCCAGCTTTTAAGAGACAGCTCTGTGTCTTTGAGTAATTCTGGGAAATGTGCCTGGAAAACCACACAATTTAAAAATAGGATTTGGAAGCGCTCATTTCCACTTGGTATTTAGTAATAACTGGCTGGCCCCCAAACTATCAAAAGTAATATACTTTCTAAGCTGTATTGTTATGTGATTTTGAAAAAAACCTGAAAGATTACACTCCCTTCCCTACCCACCCTTACTCCAAGAACAACACACCTTCTTAGAGCAATGCTCACCAGACTGGAATGTACCTGTTATATATCTGGGACCTAGTCCTTTGTTCTCCAGCAAAGCATAGGACAGTGACCCAACCTTGGTCAAAACGCCTGCCACACAAACCAAGAGTCACTGGTTCCAGGAAATCAGACAAACTCTCACTCATCTGGATGCGAGCTTGTGTACCTGATACAGACATAGTTTTTGGTAAGACCACTGTTCACTTTTAATAACTAGTATTACAGAAATATTACATTAGTCTAACATACAACACGCAGAAAAGATCAAAGAGCACAAAGTAATGAAAGATCCAGCCCATTCTTCCATAGTTACATTTTACAAAGATAAACCACTCTGCTGATTTTTTAGCATCTAGCATTCTAGACTTTTCCATGCATTTAATAAAAATTCCTTTCTCATATATATATTATAACATCTGCTTTATCGATCTAGCAACATCATGTTCATTTCTAACCAGCAAATCTTCTTCTACAATATTATTTTGAATGACAGCAGAACGTTCTATGATATAAATCTCCACACTTTATTTATCAGTAATTGCTCAACAAGGAGAGGGTAATTCAGAAAAATGAAGTCATTTTTGGTTGACCCAGGAAGTGGCTGTTGGCATTCAGTATGCAAAGGCTGGAGAGGACAAACACTATGGTACAAAAAAGGACATTGATTTGAATAACTCTGTGATACAAGGCCTCTTTACAGTGTTGAAAAGGTGGGGGGTTACTTTGAAGACTAAGGTGCGCCTGACCCAAACAATAGTATTTTCAGTCACCTCCTATGCATGTGAAAGTTGGACATTGAATAAGGATGATGGAAGAAAAATCAATGCATCTGAATTAAAGTGCTGGCAAAGAATACCAAAGGTACCATGGACTGCCACAAACAAATAAACAAACAACAACAAAAACAACAAGTCTGTATTGGAAGAAATAAAGCCTGAAGGTTCCTTAGAGGCAAAGATGGTGAGAATTTGTCTCACATATTTTGGTCATGCTGTCAAGAGAGATCAGCCCTCAGAGAAGGACATCATACTTGGTAGAATATAGGAGCTGTGAGAGGGATCGACATAGTAAAACCACTCATTACAAACCATGGGCTCAAGAGAGATAGCCACAACAGGGCAGCATTTCTTTCTGCTGTGCATGGAGTCACTATGGATCTGCACTGACTCAAAGGTCCTTAACAACCACAAACACAATAAGGAAATATCCAAGTATCACATCCTTTGAGATAAAGTAAGTCAGTTCTTTATGAAATGTATTTCTCTCAACTCTAATTTGAATGCTTATATAAATAACACATTAATGAATATCCTAGTTCATACATTTCTATTTTCTTAGGACATATTCTTGGAAGAGGCATTATTTGGTCAAAAGTTATATACACTTTAAACTTTTGATCCATTTTGCCAAATATCCTCTAGAAAATCTTAAGCTATACTTTGCCAATGAAAGCATATTTCAACTTGTTAATAAGCAATACTATACAGTGAAAGAAAGGGATCTAAGGAGCCAACGCTTGTTTTATCCTTTAAAACCCACTTTTTTAAAGGCACTTAATTTCTTGGAGTTTCAAATTTTTCATCTATAAAATATGAATCCCACCCAATCTATCTGCCTCACAAGCTCTTTGTCTGGATAAAATAAAACAAGGTGTAAAATTCTATTCCCTTTTTAAGCAGAGGGAACTGGAGAAGAATTCAAGCCTTGAGTTGCAATATTAGAGTACTTTATGAGCAAAATATTGAACAATGCAGGATGCATCACAAAATGGAAGGAATATATAGAATCACTGTACAAAAAGGAATTGGTCAACACTCAACCATTTTAAGAAGTAGTATATCATCAAGAACTGATGATGTTGAATGCAGAAGTCCAATCTGCTCTGAAAGCATTAGTGAAAAACAAGACTCTAATGATTGAAGGAATATCAATTGAGATGTCTTAACAAATTGATGCAATACTAGAAATACTCACCCAACTATGCCAAGATATTTGGAAGACAGCTACCTGGCCAATCGACTGGAAGAGACACATCCGTCATGCTCATTATAGAAAAATGATCCAGCAAAACTTGGAAATCATTGAACAATATTAATAATATACATAAATAAAATTTTACTGACAATATTCGATTCAAGTCAGATTGAGAAGAAAACTTGAAATGAGGGATGTCATTCCTAATGTTGGATGAATCTTGATTGAAAGCAGTGAATACCAGAAAGATGTTTATCTGTGTTCTATGAAGGATGCAAAGGCATTCAGCTGTATGTATCATTAGCGAATTTAATGCAACATTTGAAGAATGCAAATTCTAGAGAAGTTAAGTGTGCTCGTGCAAAAACTGTATAGTCATCCAAACAAGGGACTGCTGCATGGTGTAAAATCAAGAAAGAGGTGCTACAGACTTTTCTCCATATTGATTCAATCTGTAGGCTGAGTAAATAATCAAATAAGTTGGAGTATATAAAGAAGAACATAACACCAGAGTTGGAGAAAGATTCATTAAAAATTACAATATGCAGATGCAGATCCCACTTTCTTGCTGAAAGGGCAGAAGACTTGAAACACGTACTGAACGAGACCGAAGACTACATATAATCTTTGATATTCATTGCACCAGGACATAAAGACACACCACAGAAATCCTCAGAACTGAACCCATAATCAACATCGTGAACAAAGGAAAGAAGGTTGAAGTTGTCAAGGATTTCAGTGCTCCCTAGAGGCAAAGATGGCAAAAT